CATTTTTTAAGTTTGTGTGAAGACATTCTAATTCTGGTAAAATTTCTTTGTAATTCCATTTTACAACGTGAAAACATTTGTTAAGTATTGAAAAACGTGATCTTTTCGAGATGACGTTATAGTTTCTTGACATTTCTGTCGATAAATATTTCATAATTCATTTCTAATGATATTACATTACGTGTTGTCAACAATATTTAACTCCAAGAGAAAACCAAGACAAAAATCTATACAATTTTTTTTCTAACATTCAATGATCACGTATCTTCTTTCCCAGACATATTATCATACCATGGTTTAAGATTACAAGAGTCTGTATGCCTCAATTCTCTCCAATATTAAAAAAATCTAAATTTCCCAATATTACTTTAAGGATATGGCCATATTTCCTTAAACATAATTTACAACTGTTGCAGGTACTTTTTTGAACACCTGCTATTTTTTTCCACAAAAACTGATATTCAATTTCTTAACGTCGGGCGCTTGATGGAATCCCCAAATTTCGGGGTATAGTTTATCAAGCCACTTACCAATGCGTGAAATACCGATGATTGGGTTTCAATAATGAGATAGTTATCTCTACATAATTAAGAGACAGCATACTTTCTGCTTTGATCCGCGACCCTTTCCTGGCTTTGTCTGATTTTACCAAGAAAATTGATACTTAGAAAATTGAACTTATGAACTATTTCCATTTTTTTCTCATCATAAAACCATTCTTCATTCTCCCTAAGAATCGCACCATTTCTGAAATCTACAACTTTTTGTTTTATTACGTGTGTAACTTAGTGGCGAATAATAAGTTACGTAGACCTTCTGGAGTTTCAGCTAAAATAACAGTGTGACCACTATACATAAAGAGAAAGATTTCATTCCTGGTGTTCAATAATTGGACAGTTCTCATCAATATCAATAAAATTGCATTTCAAAATTGTTAACATAAAACGAGTATAAAATTGGGTACAACACTTCTCTCTGAAACAATTCGTACTTATATGCAAGGAAATCTTAATTCAACAATTGTATTTTACACAGAAAAAGAATTTTCCATATTTTAAAGTGGGGTTTTGAAATAATGGAAATATTGACAGCTAGTTCTGATTGTCTGTGAACTTTATGCACTTATGAGTCGGACGTTGGAATATGTAATAAGATAACCGGAATGCGGAAATGACGTCTAGCGAAAAAAAAAAAAAAAAACCGATGACTGTCAGTGAAAAGTCCCGTACATGGTAGGTATGATCACATGTTTCACTGGAGTTAATATGCTGTGTATGTATACCACATTTTGTATTCTATAAATGCTGATCAAATATGTCAGTGAGAAAGATTCTCTGCGAAATATACGCCGTTTAATTGCACGAACAGGATCCTGTTTATTCTAACACTGAAAACTATATACTACATGTAGTAGTTCGAAATTGATGATGTAGGTTTTAAATCTAAAAATCTATAACTTTGCAATAACGATCAATATTTGATTCTATCTATCATTGAAAACTTTAGACTTGCTTTTTTCATAAAGACTTTTTTTATTGCTGTTGTCGTTTTCACCGTGAATCCGCTAACTTGTTTTAAGTGACGAGAAAACGGACTAAATAACACGTGATCACCAGATTTCTATTGCTTTGAGTGAACTTGTTTGCAATGTACAAGTGGATAGATTAAAAACAAACATATACAAAGCGGCCGAAAACGGATTGATTTTCTGTAGCTTGGTAACGTCACAGACTTAGATATAAAGCTTAAACATATAGCCTATTTACTTTTTAGTATATCACAACCAGTTTTACAAATTATGGGTGACATTTCAATGACTACACTGTCACCTTCATCAAACAAATGGTTAAAATGTAGCAAATTCACACCGAGATTATACAGTGTACGCGCTGGTATATTGAAATCATTTGATGAAGGCGACAGGTGAATTCATCGAAATATCATACATGACATTAAAGTGTTTCACTGGATTTGATTTACTACCGGTGTCATATCATACATGTGTCCCCTTTCATAAAAGTATCCGGGTGCTTTTATGATAGGGGATACAAATATGATATGACACCGGTTAAACAACGTAACAATGCTGTACGTCACGTCCCGCCAAACCAAAAGTGGGTAATTTATTTCGATAAAGCTGGACTAGCTGATTATTCTTATCAATCAATATGTTTTGGTATCCATGGTAACTTACATCGATATCGACTTTAAAACGGAGGCCTACATTAATATTATGATCTGTAATATATTTGCGAAATTATTTTGTTATTTCGATCATGCTTCCCTCTACACGCCAGTAATAAATATGGACCTACTAATGAATGAAATATCGTTATTTGAAAAATTATTATTTGAAAATGGTGTGTAGTTTCCTGGTTTACAGTTGTCTCCTGTCCCTGTCTTATAACTTGTGGTAATCTAAGCCATTTGTTTGGTATGTTACTTGATTGCTAACGGTGCTTGATTTTGTCGTTTTCTTTAAAAACTATGGGTGTTCTTTATGACAAATATATCTTTGTACGTCAATTCATGAATATTAATTTATTTGTTACTTGTTCAATTGCAATAACACAGACAGAATGGAAAGTTTTCCGGGTGAGTTTACCGGAGAATACCTGTGTAAGAGCGACATTCAGTTCCACGATTACGGTAGTTGTGAAAGCAAGAAACTATGTTCATCTGTAGCATTTTTCTCCGATGTGTTCCTGGACAGAAGTTCTATTTGTGAACACCTTACCTTTGTTACGAACTGCCGGACAGAAGTTCTATTTGTGAAGACCTTACCTTTGTTACGTACTGCTGGACAGAAGTTCTATTTGTGAAGACCTTACCTTTGTTACGTACTGCCGGACAGAAGTTCTATTTATGAAGACCTTACCTTTGTTACGTACTGCCGGACAGAAGTTCTATTTGTTGACACCTGACCTTTGTTACGTACTCCTGGACAGAAGTTCTATTTGTGAACACCTTACCTTTGTTACGTACTGCCGGACAGAAGTTCTATTTGTGAACACCTTACCTTTGTTACGTACTCCTGGACAGAAGTTCTATTTGTTGACACCTGACCTTTAGCCTTTGTCTTGACACCGTTGTTTGTCAACCGATAATGTACACGTTTTCTGCTTCTCATAACTTTGATTTACGCAGAATATTAAAAAAACGTTTATCAAATTTTAAAGCAACGCAATGTTTATGGCTGTTAAGACAAGTCTTGAAACAGTTCAGAATTGAAACCTCTACTTAACGTTTTGTAATGGAGAGTTGTACCGGGAGATTGCGCATGTCCCGTTCCTTCTAAGCATTTCTCCAGTTCTGTTTGATATGGGGAAAGTGAAGAGTGTGTCACTTTTCAGTATCTTTGTATTGTCCATTGCTTGGATGATTTCCACCATGATTTACCGTTCCTCTTCTATACAAATGTTAGGATGTCCAACTCATTCCGTCTTGTTGAATAGAGGAAGTTTTCTAACCATATAACCTTACATATTTATCAAGCTCTTGATATTCCTAACTGTATATTAAATAACCATATTTTGTTGATTTATTCTGTTTTTGTATTTTGTCTGGCTAACCTTTAATATCTATGTAGACAAAAGTTCTAAAAAGTATGCCAATATATCTAAGACTTCTTCACATTCCCTCCTTCCAACTTCTGCATAATACAACGTATAATGTTAATTAATTTGATAAATTTACCCAGAATTCCCTATGCATTGTCAATTTTGTAATATTTGTGATATTTTTTTTTCTTGATTAAAAAATGACTAACGGTGTTGTAATTTGTTTTATTTACTTATGTAATTTGTTTTGTTTGCTAGACACTGAACCTTACCTGAATCATGTAATTTGTTTTGTTTGCTAGACACTGAACCTTACCTGAATCATACGCTAGGATTTTTAATCAACTGAGAACACTCTCCTTTATTTAAATTTACGCTATATTAGTATTCATAAAACCACATAAACAGTTTTCTATGTTTTAAATATTTGCTTTATGTAAGTACTGTTTGTAAATTGGACCGTTAGGGTACCTTATATCGAAGTCCGTGGTAACACTGGTCGACATTTTGTTAGCGTACAAGTGTTTGGTATTCTCTAACTTGATTCAACACAGTAACATTACATTGTATGTAACCAAATGTTATAATATCGTTCAATTATTGCGTTTACATGTTCTCAGTGTTATATTAATCAGGAATATATATATTTTCAAACATTTTGAAACATTTGTTATGTACCGAAAAAAAAATGCCAGCTACGCCATGATGTACAGGGCTAATATTGTTTATTGTTCTAAATATTTATTTTTCGTTGGCATAAATAAGTTTCCTTTTCAAAAATAAAATTGTGTAGAGGGTTCTGTAGCTCTTCTTCCATGGTAATTGTCCATACACAAGGAAAAGAATCGTACCTTTTTGTCGAGTTCGCGATTATCGACAGCCGTTGACGATCACTCTAAGCTCATATCGACCGAAAGCCTTGTTTGTTTTACCATCTGAGTGGAGCAAAGGGCACTAACTCTAGGAGGTCAGTGATCATATACAGGTCATAAGTGTAACTTGTTTCAATCGATCACCGGGTCAATGAATATTACATGTTATATAATAAATAAATGATTGTGCAGAATGTGTGTTTGTGTTATAGTACAAATATCACCGATATTTTTTACGAGAGGCTGAGAAGAGGTTTCATAAACCCTGGACTCCTTCGAATCTCTGTATTCACTAATGGATATAAATATTCATGAGATTCCTTTCGATCAAAAGCTATGATTAAGATTTTTAAAACCAGTGTAATGTTACTCAAGTTAATTAATCAGTTGTTTAAACAAAACTGTCATGAATGGACACAACAAGGCGTATCTGGGTACAACCCTGTGTTGGGTTGAGATACAAGTTTCATTACATTCATTACAAGCGCTTCACCTACCAAACGTTTTGGCGATGTGTATTACATACTTCCGTCTGGCTGCGCATGCGCAATTAGAAAGGAGGCTCCGAACGTGGCGACGTCAGTATAGACAAGATAATTATAATTAAATATTTAGACGAAGTCATTCCATTTATAGACACATTTATCTTTCTAAAGAGGCGACTTTATTCAGACATATAAGAACATGGGTTCGTCTGGAGAATTCGGAAACCCCCTGAGGAAGTTTAAATTAGTTTTTCTTGGAGAGCAAAGTGGTAAGTTTACATGGAAATGTCAGAATTAGGCTAAGCAGAACATGAAAACATATTCAAGTTACTGTTTGTACATATATATCGTAAATTTATTGTTTATTTTTATGTAGAGTGGCTGTGTTTACATATGTCTCGATTTGAAAGGCTATTTTGTTTATATGAGGATGTTGGTAAAAAATTATGTTTTGCCGGTGTTATGATTGACAGCTCTGCCTGTGAGTCACGGGTTACGTTTAGAAATTTACATCACAGCCTACATCGAAGTCATGATTTTAAATAGAGTAAACGTATGACAGTTTCACTAAATTTCCTGGTTGTCGACAATCAGTTGTCCGAAATTTGCTCACTGGAACACCCGAGGCCCCATTGGAGTGAAGAATGTCAAAATCATTGAACAGACCAGCAAGACTAGCTACATTTGGGGAGGTGAATGGTATGGCTATTTGATCTGTATATGTCCTCACTTATATGTGTTGATATGGTTTCAGGTTAGGAACTTTAATGAGAAATTAATCCATAGTCCAGTTCTGGATATGTACATATATCCAGTGTCAATCATGTCGCAAGGAAATATCTTGTAACAATGACCATCTTACTTTAGCTGAAGATACTTATCAATGCCATGAGTGCTAGTACAGCTACAAGAAAGGCAATTGTGAGGATAGGCTTATTAAATGATAGGCTTGAGGAATTAAGGGAGTTCATCGATTTAAAGCCAAGAGAAGCATGCTCCATTAGGCATTTACTGAGTGACAAGTACCACGTTTAACCAAATGTATATTCTAAGTACAAGCCATACTCGCCTGGTCCATTTATACAACTCCACCTGTTGTTTTTCTATTCAATTCAGTATTTAGATTTCAACCCAAGGGTCCTCTTACCACAACCTTTAGGGTTTTGTTCGTCATCAATTTGAATCTTATTCCTGTCATGTGTCCCATCAGGAATCAAACCTGACATCCAGTGTCCATGCCACTACCAATTGAGCCAAAGAATTAAGAAAAATCATCAATTAAAATTTATGTTCATCCCTCTGTGTATATATCTGCTGATGTGGGTAGTATTGTGTTTCTGTTTTTATATTATTATCTCTCAATACCTTTGCATGCTGGCTGAGTGAGAAAGAGTTTATCACACCATGTACAATCTACACTTACCTGTTACTTCCTTGAGGTAGAGGGCTAGTGATGATGTTCAGATGTCTTAACCACTTGGCCACTCATGTATATACCTCATATTTACATATCACAATATTTAACACCATTGTATTCTGATTTTCTGATTTTGTTGTGTTTCAGTTGGGAAGACGTCATTGATCACACGTTTCATGTATGACAGCTTTGATAACACATACCAGGTAAACTTTAGTGTAATATTGATCATTGAAAGTTAAAATATGTATAGATATGTGAATTTTGAGTCGATAACTTCAGACCAAAGATAAGATGCCACGGAATATTATTAACTTGTATATTTTGAATTTAGAAATTAAAGGAAAAATAGTGTTTATGTACAAAAATTATGTAGATTTATACAGTACTGTACAGAGTGTACCATGATTTGAAGAGAAACAGGTCGCAAATAAAAAGGATTGCTTTTAACTATGCACATATAATGATAGTAACATTTATTGATTTTTCTGATTCTATGTTCAATATACATGCAGGAGAGAAGGTTTGAGTGCATGATTACCAATTGACCATAAACACCAAATTGTACAGAACAGAATTTTATTTAACACTCAGATCAATATACATTATACATGAACAACACACATATATAATAAACAATAAGTAGCTCAGGCGTTATTAGTTTACTTGGAGAATGAGAAATTGATATTTCTATACTACATGCATGTAATAATGAGGAAACTTCAATTGTACAAAAGAATCCATAATATTTTATGGTATGAAGGAACTGATAGGAATAATTTCAATATTTTGTTACTTCAAAAATCACATTCAAAAACATTTATTGTGTGTCACATAATGTTATTCCCTGGAAACGTCTTCCATCACAACCAGTGTACAAGTGTGACTGGGCAGTCTCATTACATTTAGTGTGACTGGTCAGTCTCATTACGTTAACTATGACTAGTCAGTCTCATTATGTTAATTGTGACTGGTCAGTCTCAATACGTTAAGTGTGACTGTTCAGTAATTAATTCTACAGGTCACTAAGATGGTTCTTAACTTGTGCATGAGTCAAGTGGGAGTGTATGCTTTTAGTATTTATCATACATAGTGTATACTCAGGCCTCGAATTTAAGGCTTTTTACTGGCTATTTGCAAGTAGAAATCCGAGAATTGCAAGTAGAAAAAATAATGACTTGCTTTTTTTCAGCAAGTGGATTCATCAGATACAAACTGTGATTGTCTGTCTATTCCTAACATTTCACAGAATTAAATTGTTTTGAGTTTTGATTTTCAAAGTGTTTATATTGGGACAAAGCAGTTCTTCTATAATATTGATATATATTGGATGAAGCCAGGTAATACATTATAAATCACAAAACACATTATTTGAACATGGAGATTTGCGATAATAGCAAGTAAAAAGTCAATTTAGCAAGTACAAATTTAAGGCACTTGCTGTTTTCAGCAAGTGACAAAAAATGTTAAATTTGAGGCCTGATACTATAGTTTTCAACATTCATAGACTGTATACTTTAGTATTCATCATACATAGAGTATACAAACTTTAGTATTCAGTGTTTATCATATGTAGAATTCATATTATAGTTTTCATCACTTGAGAATGACTTGTCAGTAATCATGAAAGTAATTACTGAACATAACTGGTGAGTGGGTGTCAGTATCACAGGAGTGTTACTTGTCAGTGATAATGCCACTTTTATATAGAAAGTGATTTGTGCTGATCACATGTATTTAGAATAACATAAATGGTAGTCTAACACTGTTTTTTTTCTATTTTCAGGCAACCATTGGAATAGATTTTCTGTCAAAAACCATGTACCTAGAAGACAGAACAGTAAGTATACCAATTTACAATAAGGCATGAAAACATTTATCTCTTGTCATCATAACATATTGGAAACATGTACCAGACAGTTGTTCCAAGTTTTTCTCTAAAGTTCAAATTTGTAAAGAGGTATATGCTAGATAGTTTCCCGAAACATATATATAAGTAGTGGTGAGTTTTTATGTACTGTAGACTTCATGTGTATACTGTTTTCAATTTTCAGATGAAAATATATTTAAGTACTGATTAGTCCGTAGCAGTATATCTATGCCTTTACTGTTTAGATATTTCAAGTTTGTTGTTATTATTATAATCACAATCTTAACAACTGATGTCAAGTTTGTAAGAGGAAAAAATAATACATACCACGACTAATAATTTATGTAATTATATTTCACTTTTGATTTCAAATTTTAACAACAGAAAAAATAACTTGATATAGTCATATGATTAATTTTCATTGTACATGGCAAAAAAAAAAAAAAAATGAATCAAGTTCAGTTTGCAGAAGGATTATTTTATACTGTGCTGATATAATGATACATGTGTTTGAATTATGACATGACATTAAAGTGAGACAATGTTGAAAACGATAAGCTGTTTTTCTGCCATACATTAAAGCTAGATTTTCCATTCTGTATTCATAGATCCGTCTTCAATTATGGGATACAGCTGGACAAGAAAGGTTCCGAAGTTTAATACCAAGTTACATTAGGGATTCCTCTGTAGCAGTTGTAGTCTATGATATAACTAGTAAGTAACATCAACATGGCATATTTTTACAACTGGAATTTTAATATGAGTAGATATTAACATTTAAATCATGTAATAATCCCCACTCTAGGCCTCATATTTCTTAACTTTTATGTAATGTACTTTTCTAAACAAAAGTCTTGAATTTAGATAACAAACTAAAGATATAATTTTCAGATATTTTTATGTATTCATCCAGTGTGCAATAAGCCTAGAGTGAGGGTGGGGAGGGACATGAGTTCTTGAGTGAAGGGAAAAATACCACTGGATTAAAGTATTTGAAAAAGATTACATCAGTTATTCTGGTGCTGTTTGTTAATAAGCACAAAATTTTACATCAATTACATTATCACTATTAATCAGTAAAATTGCTTTTGTGTGTACTTTAATCTGTGTGGGAGGTTTGCTTTAATTACTCTTGAGGCTGGGACAATTTTTCTGACTTTCTGTATTGCCTTGCAGATGCTAATTCCTTTCAACAAACATCTAAGTGGATAGATGATGTGAGGACAGAGCGAGGCAGTGATGTTATAATTATGTTAGTAGGAAACAAAACAGATCTATCGGACAAGAGGTATGTATAACAACGACATACAAGTTATCTTTACGGAAGAGCTTGAACATACAGTAAAACTGTGTGCTAAGACAAACGTGGTTTGACCATGTCAATAGTTTGAGGAATACAGTACTAGTGTATCAGAGTACTCGGAGGTTGGTCATAGTCAGGTAGAGTTCTACTGATCGTGCCCAACCATCCATATCGGTGAATGATTTATTAAGTTCACAATTTTTTACTAATCCAATTTATGATTAATCTGAAGTTTTGATTAACTTAAAACTACAGTTTGTATGAAATTTCACGGAGATGAATGTTGCAAAAGGTTAATTCATGACACTAGTCTGTACTTTAACAGCAATATATAACATAAACATGCAGAATGCATGTTGCAAAGAATGCTTGTTTTCAACACTTAGTACATGTAAGCGAGAAGAACTGTAGAAACTTTTAACATTTATCTGTATTCTGTCACTTAGTATGTGCCATTCTGTGAATTGGTTTACACAGGGACAAACTACCATTTAAACAAAAGTCGATTTTTCTCTATGGAATTACGGAACTGGGAAACAATTTTCTTAGAAATGTCTTGATAAACCAATACAATTACATAGCAGATGGTGGTACAGGTATGTTATCACTGTAAATCCTGTAATTATCTGGAGTCCTGCCAAACATCTGTATAAACACACAGGAGTGATTGGAAGTATTATTCTGGTGTTAGACACAGTTGTGCGTGATACAGGAAAATTTGGCAAGCATGACAGCTGTTCGAAGGAAAAAAAGAGGGATGGATAAAGATCAGTTCAGAAAAGAACTGGGTATTTGAGGAATTACAGTTCAGGGAATCCAAGGTTAAATAACCCGAAATATATAAGGGCATTGACAGGATCAGGCAGTTAGTGCAACAAATTGGTGGTATAGAAGGAACACAAGTTCAATTGCAAATGTATGTGAGGTTTTAGTGCACCTAAATATCATAATGTCATCATTGGTGAATTTTTAATTTACTAATTTAAACATCGTATACACTGCTGGTCTTTAGTTGAGATGAACCTTGATATTTGTTACTGTAACCTCAGGATTAAGTTATTTACTGACACAAAGTGGAAGTTAATATCATGTCATAAGGGTAAACAATTCTTTATTCATTTATTTTTTATTTGAGATGAAGTGAATAAATATGTTCTTCATATGACCCATTATTAAGTATTGATTTTCTTTTCCTTTCATGACATTATCTAAGTATAATTGAAATCTTTTATTCTTTGCATTACTAAACTGATCATCAATAATGATGTATTCTTCAGACAAGTGACAACAGAGGACGGAGAGAGGAAGGCAAAGGAACTAAATGTGATGTTTATAGAAACCAGTGCCAAGGCTGGCTACAATGTGAAACAGGTAACGTCAGAAGGAAGTAAGAACACAGCATGTTGTTGTCAGGATACAGATGATGACCTCTTTTAGTTCTAATGACATTTGATTCCGAGTTAAATTAAAAGATAATTGAAAAACTAATGTGATAACCAGTTTCCTGTTTACTGTTGTTACTGACCAATACCTGAATGTGACATTAATCTTCAGTGGATATCTCTATGTATTCTCTAGAAATTAATGAAGTAGATAAATATAATAAATCAAAGAATTGGATGCCGATATCTAGTTTCCATGCACACATTTTAGTCAAATAGTTAGGAGATAGGATTTGTATGTATATAAGGTGGAGTATATAGAACCCCTAACAGCTAGTGTACTGTCACATACATTCATTCTTGTGCTTCTTTGTTTTAAAAGTCTATACATTATGTAAATTGATACAAAATAAACAAACTGCTTTGGATAGTGATTGTACCTAGTATATGGAAAGTGAAAGAACGCAAATATTTCGGACTGTGTTGCATTGAATGCGATTTCAGTGAACGTTTAGTATTGAACTATATTTCTGTTTAGAATCATCATTGTTTGAATGAATTTGATATTTTATATATATATAAACTAGAACTTTGAAATGAAGGGAATTAGTTGTGCGAATGTACATTTTCACAAACAAATGTCAATACTTTTTCATTCTTGCAGGTCCCTCTAAAATTATGATTGAAGAATTTTATAGTATGCTTGAAAATTCTGAATGACAGATATTTAAAATAAAATTATAATAATATCATGTACAGTGAAATTAGGCTTTGTTAAATAAACGCTTATTAAGTAAATGATCATGTCTAAAATAGTTCTAATGAAGATATTCTTACATAGCTGTTCATCAGGAGCGTCTATTTTTCTTCTTATTGTAGTTTCATCATAATGTGAAACAAAATTAACCTTATTATAAAACCTGACGTTTTCTTATATAAGATAAATTCAGAACCTCAAGCCACTTTAAATATATGTGTGAACATTTGTCGTTTAAGTTATTCCGCCGAGTTGCTGCAGCGCTACCTGGAATGGAAACCACAGAACCCAAGAAGGGAGAGAGTATCCTTTATGTGTTATATATATATGTACATATGTTATGGTGCAGGGTAAGGACTTATCATGAAACAGGTAAAACAGACTTTAACTTGCTGGATAGCAGTATGGTGAAATGGTGATATTTTATCATACTACAGGTAAAACATCTTGATTATATCTAATTAGATAATTCTTACTGGATAATTCTATGGTCTAATGGTGATGTTTTATCAAAAAAGGAGTAAAACACATCTTGTCCCTATCAATCTGGATAATTTTATGGTTTGTGGTGATTTTGTCATTTTATTGGAAAACACATCATAACTTTACCATCTGGCAAAAACCCTTGAGGGTTTCATGGAATTTGCCAAAAGGTCACTTACAATTGTATAGGCTATAATTTCATTTAGAAAACATTTGCGTGAGTATCTATGTAGTGAACATAAAGGTGATTGTTTGTTATGTAAAGAAGCTCTGTGATACTGACAGTATTCTAACCAGCTTGATGCAATAACTTTGGATGGACAAGGGAGATAACTCAAAGGTAGGTGGTAGACAGCTTGTAGTAAGCTTGTGTGGTCCCTGTATACTGTTAATATTTCTAGACATACCCTGCTTACATTTGGTATCACAACATCATGATGGAGGCAAAGAATCGCAAGATGTACCAAGTAGGGATTTAATTAAATAAATGTATTAACAAACTTGCCTTTTACCGCTAGTATTTTAATAAAAAAAATGACAGTAACATCTGCCTTACCCCATGGGTTTTCCAATATAATTAAGACTTTAACTGTGTAGGATCCCTTATGCGATTCCATTTGTAGTCCCCAAAAATGATCATCTGATGTAACTTATTTAAAAATTCCTGTAAACTAGATAAATATCTAAAGACAATTTTTTTGTAACTTTGTTCAATATATATATTATTCCACGAAATTTTTGATAAACATATGATATTTTCAATGATTAAATAGTAAAATTGCACAGATACATTTATCTATGGTATTTGTGATGAATTTTAAACCTGTTATTTATGGATACTTCGATTCTTGCACTGTGGCATCACAACTATTCTATCCCTAACAATAGATGCTTTTTTCATTCTATCCTGCCTTGTTAAATTTACTAATCATATGCATGCATTATCTTGCTTATGTTATATCTACTCTTGCTTATGATGCTTTTAAAATGTGTCTGTACTGCTTTCATGCTATGAAATATTAATTTGCATTTTTGCTTGTTATTGGTCCAAATACCAGTTATCTCCCTTTGCATAATTTGAGCATGGCCTTTCTGCTTTCCGGAGAAGTTCTAACAGTAGTATCTGTACAGATATAGATGTATTGAATGTGACCATTATCTCTATATAGACTAAGCATATACTGAAGGCTTTATGCTGTATGAACATTTATATATTGATAGGAAAAGTAGTTTTAAATGTCTTTTATTACACACTAAATATGTTGAGGGAAATATTCTGGAGATAGTTGTCATGATTACTTATAATTATCAAGAGGTTAAGGAGAATAACACAGAACATGAAGTGGAATTTGGTTCAGAATTATTTTCAGTTAGTGTTTATAGGTATACAGGTTGTCAACATGCAAAATTTATGTTTGATTCAGATCTGTACACATTTTCAGTTCCATTTGAAGTGATATTTGGGTTGTACTTCTAAAACATTTCTCTACCATCTCTGTATAGTTTCTGTAGCACTTAAGTCTACATTATCTTGCTGAAAAAGCATTTGTGAAAGGACCATTTGAAAATAACAATTTTAAAGAAAACAAATATTTGTTAAAAATTCCTTCTAAACACAAATTGTGTTATAGTGTTATAATTGTATCAAGAGTTTAATGGCAAGTGCAGTGTATTAAATCATCTGTCATAGATAAAAGCCATCAAACTATGAATCAACTGTGTATGGTACAAATATACATTCCTATGTGTGAATTTAGTTATCAAATTAATATTGACCAAATGATGGATAGCCTCCATATGTAACAAATAAAATCTCTACCAATTTGTATATTATATTGTAAATTATAAATAAATGTATTACAGATGTTATTCACATAAAGGTAACACTGCTGAAAAAACACAAAAGTCATCTTATCTTTCGCCATTGAAACAAATTCTGATTTTAAAAAATTTCTGTTAATTTGCATTTTTAAAGCATCGTCTGGAGCATGGCTCTCACACTATAGAACCACTTGTAAAGTATTTCAGTGGTGTTACAATAGCACTTCCTTAGTATTTGTATTTTGATGGAACATCAGATGTGTACAGATCTGTATAAATGTGTATTTATCGTATTAATGTTCAAAGTGTGTCCACAGTCTAAGTAAATAAATAATGTATGTACTATAAAAAAAAGTCTTAAGCTAACTATCTACTTTAGATTTAGATATATACAAATATTTTTGTTTTTGTTTTTTTTCTTTATTTGTGTGAAAAATCACCAGTTGGTAAAATGCTTTTCTTTTTGTAAAATCATTTAAACTTGTGAGATATTGTTGTGTTACTGATAGATAACTAGGAACACTATTCTAAAATTCAGCGTCTTTTGTTAAGTCACGGAAGTTAAGGTTTAGATATATATGAAGTCTTTTGAAATTATTTTTAGTCACTCCTCACATTAATGGAAACAGTTTGTGTGTAACTAGCTATTTGAGGAAAATTTGAGAGAAATGGATTTCTGTTAGTTATTAATTGATATGCTGAAAGCTTGATCAGAATCTGTATGCAACTATGAGATGTTGCCATCGCAAACTTGATTGAACAGAGCCATTTACAATAAGTCATGTAAGTTTTTTAACACAAAGGAAGTTTTCATGGCCTTACAGATTTCTTTTGCAATCTTCAGACTTACATATGTCTTGATATGTGGTTGGTGGTGGGATAAAATCTGTATTGCAGTCATCTTTATTTAACAGTTTGCTACCTAGGCTAAGATCACAAGTATTCAAAATGACAAAGTTTCTAAACTAACATCTTATACAGAGGAGATCACACTTAAATGTTTTAAGTACTTTCTTATTGCTTTCCATATTTTTATTTCATATGGATGTTGTTAGTTTCATTTAGTTTGTTTTTGGTTTCCTTAACTTTGGTTTCTTCAGTGACGGAGGTAAAATTAAAGGACACACCGACAGAGCCTGAGGCGAAGGAAGGAGGATGTACTTGTTAGTCTGTCTGTCCATTTATATTTTGTCTGTTTTTTGTCTGTCTTGTGTCTGTCTCTGTGTGCACACTTTCTGATCTGTCAAGTACTGTCTTGTGTGTTTTGTTTCATTTCTATGTTGAATAAGTGACTACAATATTGAAACGTGATTTTGTACATAGACATAACTGGCCTCATGTATATCTGTAGCAAAAGACATGGATGTTCATGGAGATTCCTTGCCTGCAGGCATATATGAACTCCTTATGTAGCAGAATATTAGAAAATGTTTTACTGTGTATGCATTGTATATGTACAGACTATTTTGTACTTACATAGTATATACTGATGTAAACTTCATATATCTGTATACAAAAGATAGATTTATGTATAAATTTTATATGAGGTCAGTACAAATTGTATGTACATATAAAATGTATATTTATGTTTTAAGTTGATAGATGCAAAATATAATTTGTGTATGTGAACAAAACAAATTATATTTATTTATATGCATTGTATAGAATACAAAAATATATTTAATGTATACATTGTTTAGTTGAAAAAATTTAAATCATACATTGTATATAGGTGGTTGGTACAATGTATGCTTTGATGCATACATTGTATTATCAGTTGTTACAATGTATGTTTTAATGTATACATTGTATGGGCAGTTGGTATGATGTATGTTTTAATGTATACATTGTATGGGCAGTTGGTATGATGTAGGTTTTAATGTATACATTGTATTGGCAGTTGTTACAATGCATGTTTTAATGTATACATTGTATTGGCAGTTGGTATGATGTATGTTTTAATGTATACATTGTATTGGCAGTTGTTACAATGCATGTTTTAATGTATACCAGAAGATGTACAGAATACAAGTCTAAATACTACCATGAAATAAGATGAAAATCAAATATCGGTTAAAAAATAATGGTATAAAAATGGCCATTGTGATCTTTCTGATAACTGATATTTCTTGCAACACATTTTTTATTAATTCAATGAATTGGTTTTATAAAATTTAAAGTATTTCTAGGAAATGTAATACCATTTTACCACAAAAACACATTCTTCACAAATTATTCAATAATGTTTGGTTAACACTTTTGTTTTTTTCTAACATGAAAAGGGTTACTAAGGCAGGTTTTTCGTTTCATTGAGGCAGTTCTAATTAACATTGATAGATTTGTCTACTGGTCAGATTTATTTGTGTAAGTAAAATACCTATATTTCTTTAATTTCATGATGTACATGTTTACTTTGCTATTTACTGTGTTTCATGTTATACATGTCACACATTTAGGAACAGATTTGAAATTACTGTTTATTGGCAAATGTAAATTCAAGATGCTATGAAAATTGTTTTCATATGGTATAGGCAATGTAAAAATTATATATATATATATATATATATATATATATACATTATTTCAATGTATTTCATGCAAAACAGGATGCATTCATTTCATTACTATGATCAACATTGTATAAAATACATTCTGTTCTCATATACGATGTTTAACCTTTTTCTGATTTTTCATGGTGCCATTTGTATCAGTCAAAAAATTTATTATAATGTAAACAATACTTACATACATGAACGTAAACAATGTTTTCATACACTGATGTAGATAGGACAACCATTTTGTGTAAGTTTCAAAAATACACTAGCAAAGATCAGTATACATTTCATATTTACTTTTAGAATCGCTATAGCTGTCAGTTCTTTGGCAGTATTCTTTGTTTTTTATGAAATTGCCAAACCAATCTGTCGTAGGGTGAATGTGTGAAAGTATATTCCAGTAAACTGAATATTGGAGTTGTTATAGGTTTGAGCCTTAAATGA